AAGTCAATGTATTTTACAGGAAATTAACATCGAAAATATAAAGCGGTGAACAAATTAAAATTATTATTGTCACAAAATTTACTTAAAATAAACGTAAAAATTCTTTTACAAAACATTAAAGATTTAACTCCGCATGGACATCTTTTGTGGTAGATGTTACAAGATGGTCGACCAGTAAAAGTACAACAAAATCCGAAATTTTTTCTATCACGTTAAACAAACTGGTATAATGGATATTAACTTCAATTTCAACCTAATCAACTATTTTAATGTTTTTTTTTGCTACAATTATAATTAATGTTGATGTGAAGAAAAACTTACCGAGCAATTTGAAAATCAAAAGTAGATAATCGCTTGAAATTGAAGATGGCGTTGGAAAAAGTTTATTTGTAGTATGAATCATAATATTCAGCAAACCTTTTCATTTGATACCTCGCTCATGAAAATCGGAATATAAATGAATTTACAGCTTGCGGCATTCTTGTGTGACAACATGTATATACAGGTGCCTTTTCTCTGCTAAACTTACGTTCAAAATGGATGTATTGTACATCAATGGAATTAGAAAAACAATCTCTATCCAATGACGTGAAGAAATCGCTTAAAATTGAAGATGGCGTTGGAAAAAAATTATTTGTAGCGTGAATCATAGTATTTATAATACCATTTCGTTTGATACCTAGGTCATGAAAATCGGAATGTAAATAACAGAGTTACAGCTTGGGGCGTTTTTTGTGTAACACCCTGATATCTGAAGGAGTTTATTTCTTTGCAGCTTTGTTTATATTATCATTTCATCACTGAACATTTCTACGTAACATATGTTAATTTGAAAATTTTCGGATCCGTGGTTTCTTTTTATCGCGAGTTAAGGGGAGAAACCACATTAGGAGGCTCATTTTCATTGATTTTTTAGGATTATTTTGGGTGGGAAGAATTGATTAGAATTTAATCAAATTTCGACACTATTTTGTTTATATTTCGAACAACTTTTGTGAATTTTTTTGAACAATTTTATAGAAAAATAACAAAGTTATTCACTGATGTCTGCTGGACGTCGTACCTAGAATTCTCCAATTGCGAGACGTGTAGCCATTTCAATTTTCAGCTGATATCGAAAAGCTTTTCATTTTAAGTTAATAACTTATTTTCTAAGAATATGAACCTTAATGCAGGTAAATGTAACGAAAATTAAAAATTTTGCAGGTATTGGAAAAATTTACTTAAAATTTCACTTTTTTTTTACTAATTATGCAAAAAAAACTATTTTAAAATCATGATTTCATCTCAAAAGTTGGTTCATATATTTCGTAATTTCATAAACAATCATACTATCAATTTTCATAATGATTGGTTCATTACTTTTTGAATTAGAGTTCCCGAGTTTTTGAATAATATAAAGTAGTCACCGTTAATCCGCGATTCCAGCACCATACATTAGTCCTTCTTCTTCCTCATAGGCTTCATTTTGCGCCTGCAGCAGTGCTTCTCGAGCTTCCCGACCTCCCTTCGACTTCAATGAACTATGTCGATTCTGTCGACTCACGCGCCTACTCTTTGCGTACCTACTACAATTCCTGCTTCGTTCATGATCATCAGAAGGGATGAATTTCCTGCATTGAATAAGCCCGCGGCTAAGCACGATACCAATTCGATGACTTTTATTCCGGAGTGCAAATGTTTAGGAACTAATCGCCAAATTGTGAAATTAAAGCTTTCATTTGCGTTTCGCGTGTGGCCACCTAAACATCTTTCCAGTAATTCATCCCTTCATAAATCTTCATATATATGCAGAATTTCCTGCTGTATGTCGGGATGCGGTACAAGCTCCATACCAAGAGTCGTTTCTGCCACACGCACCAGCTGTCTTCTCCCTATGGGCAACACTCGTGTCGAGGATTTTCCTCGGTGGATATCATATGATAGTATGTCGCCATAATCGCTGTTTTCATATTTTCTACACTATCGATGTATGTCTTCGAATCGCTAGTCCATAGTAAGTGCTGGTATGTGTGACCTGCGTGGTATAGATCGTGAGCGGGCATAAAAAATCACTAACGCGCACATCTCTACTAGTATAGGCTACGGCAGACCGCTCGATTCCATGCTCATAAAATTTAAAGGAATGCGAATTTCGGTTTATAATTTTGAAATCGTATTCTTGGATAGTTAAGCTAACGATTTATGCAATAAAAAAAATCGATTTTTTGAACCTTCTAATGTGGTTTCCCTCCTAACTGAAAAAAGTACCCGATTTTTTACGGTACCGGTAACTTTGCGATTTTTTTTTCGAAAACTATCGTACGAAAACATATCAATTTTGAACAGGTGGTAATCTGATGTGTTCTAAATAACAGGCATATTTTATTTTTACGATATTCTATAATATAAAATATCGCGTCCGTCAAAAGGGATCTAGTGTGTCAAAAAAGGTGTTTGACTTAAAAGTGGACTCTGGTCTAACAGTGTGTAGAATAACATGAAATGAGTTAGATTCATGACAAAAATTTATTTATACTATAAAAATGTAAAAAAACTAACTTATGAAGTTTGAAAAAAACATCAAAAAGTTAAAAAATGTCATTTTTCGTAATTTTTTTTTTCATCAGGTTTTTTTTTAATAGTTCGGCCTTCTTTTTCAGTATTATCTGATGCTGTACTTCGATTTTTCTTTTTTGGTGCTTCGTCTTCAATTTTTTTCTTCTTCTGGGCTGTCGCATCACTTTTCTTCTTTCTCTTTTTTGGTGTACTGATTGCCTTCGGTTCACCTAACCGTTTTTTCATTTTAGGTGTGTCTGGTTTAGGGGCTACCAAATCTTGCATCTCTGGATTACTACACAAATCCCGGATATTATCATACAAATACCATTTTCGATCCAATGATAAACCGCTTGGTACAATGAGTGAAGGTAATCCATCTGGAAGCTTATCTGTTAGTCGTAAATTGAACTTTTCTTCTTCAGAGTCCACAAGTTCTTTACATACAATTTAATTTTTTCGGAAATCGAAGTGGTGGTACTTGGTAATGCCTAAAATGCAAACGTTTACAAAATTGATTGGAATGAATTTGAAAAATTTAAAATAATTATTAGAAAATTGCGAAAGTTTACCTGGTAATCTTTTGTAAAATTCTCCAAAATAACTATCCCACGATCGCCACTCTATTTTGCTTCCATTTACAGCTTGATTAAATTTGTTATGGCTAGATCTTACGACAACATCTTCGAAATCTTGGTAGCAATCTACGTTAGAGCGACTGTATTCGAGTTTCACCAACCCAAAGGATCGATCAGGGCTGAACTTAGTGTGCCCAGTTAAGAGGAAATTCAAAGATATCGATTCGTTTAAGCCGGAATCTATTCGCCAAGCTAAATAATGTAACGTTGTATTATTTTTATTTTGGGCGACGCAGTTGTCGCAAAATAGAACTACATTTTTGACGGGGTTCATCCCCAAGTAATGATGAATACTACAGGTGTCCCGTTAAGCGTACGGAGCGACTGTATCTCGACAACGGTAAGGCCTAGAGGTTTGGGAAAAAAATCTTTATAAGCAAAGTGACCAAGAGAAATAGCTGGAAATTATTTTGAAGTTCGTAATTCGACCGCTAGGGGGCGTAACTGCCATTGAGAAACATAAAGTTCCCGCTATCTCAGAAACTTAAACGATGAGCTATAACTTTGACAACATCATTTAATAGCTTGGATAATACCGCATCGCTTTTGTTTTGCGATATTTCTCATATCTGTCATAATAAGGGAGGGGGAGGCCAATGCGTTTTCAAATGTTTACATTTTAATATCTCCTGGACCATTCAACCGATTTGAAT